TCAGCCATAAACATTAAGCATATCTGAACCGCTACCAGTGAAAGCCGACGGACTCGCAAGAGATGCCGTTTCGGCTGCTGTGGTCCGTCTGAGCTGCTGCACCGGCTGATGCTGCAGCCATTTCGGCAGTGCTGAGCTGCTGCTGGATGGACCGCTCCCAGCCGGAGCTGCTGAGACGATCAGCCGGTGAAGATGGCATCCAAGGTCGGCGGAGCACCGGCAGCCAGTCCTGCCGTTCGGTGTCGATGTCGAACCCGTCTCGGAGGCCGCGACCGCTAATGTTTCAGCGGCCCTACACGAACTCCGTCGTAAAGCGTCGGGTTTAGTGGCGATAACCTGGCCAGTGGCTCGGAGCCAGTGGTTGGCCGACCAGTGGAGCGAGCCATAACCACAAGTCGCCGCGACAGGTCACCGGGCACCGACATCGGCCAGTCGGCGAGCCCGCGGACCGCGCAGTGAGAGCCGGCCCGGCGCGGAGAGACCGAGGGGCCGGCACAGCCCTGGGAGCGGCCGGTCTAATGGCGCCCACAGCCGGCAGAGAGACGCGCTACATGGTCGGCATGGTTTGAAGGCGCTTTAGCAAGGAGAAGAGAATGTGTACTAACCGACCAATTCTTTTATGATTGTGGTAATTAACTTCGTGTGGCTGCATGTGATTGTCTGGAACAAATAGCGTCAAATTAGCACCTTCCCGTCAAGTTTTCTAACTTCCCCGCATTCACGATTAATACTACAGACCTGCCTCGTTCTAGTTAATTATCAGACTGTAATTACAATGTGTTTTCCTCGAGCGCTTGTATGTACGCTCCACAAATGATCACACAGTTTGGCGAGTGCTGTCAGCGTTCACATCGCTCATCAGGAAAACGGACGTCTTGCGTGTGTCTCACCAGTGTCTGTGTGTTTAATGAGATCCAAAAGTAACGACTTGTTCTTATTTTCAGGTGAGTATCGACGCACAGAGGGCAGAGACCACCGGAGGCTGCATTCAGGTAAGTGCGTGACGTCATAAACGACGGGCCAATCACGGAAAGAAGACGGCCGGTGTACTCCAGTTTGCATTGGCCCTCTGTCGGCAATCAACGGTCCACTCGCGTGAGTAACCAGGTAACGAGGTGACGGCAAGCTCGGAGTTGACCCAAACTTCTTTATCCGGTACTTCCCTAACCTCCTTTGATGGCCAGCCTCATTAGAGTCCGGGCTTGTTCTTCGTACGCCGGGGTTCCTTCCAGGCAGGAAAGATGGGCCCTCACGTCGGTGGCGATCGCCTCGAAACAGGTGTTCGCAGTTGACCGTCGAGTTCCAGTGCATCGGTGGTCGCTCCTGAAGATGCGGTCAACGTTCCGAGGATAACGTTCTCGTGACTTTTCTGTTTCGTATGGGAATGACAACATCGGCAGACGGACTGCGGTGCTTACAATGCAATATGCTGTCTACAACATAACTGTCCATGTTATAATTTAGCGTTTACTTTTTTAGTTACCAATTTAATTGGTAAGGTTGTAATGCAGATGTGGCCCACAGTCATGACGTGTGCTTGCATCGTACATATTTCTGCGGCTGCAAACACATTATATAAACCAATTCTGCGGCAAGATAGTCACGTAGTCAAGAAACATGAGCGACATAAAACGTTTTTCTATCACAAATTACCTCAAACCTTATTGCGTTCAATATTTTCTTTCCTCGTCGTGTTCAATGCAGAGTTTACAGCCGCACTATACCTCGTTAACTATTATCTAACCACATTAAAAATGTAACCAGTTTATCACAAAGCTCCAAGAAACAGCCGCGCTCCGAAGCCACGTGTTGGCAATGCGCGGCATATGTTTGTAAATCCGTTTGTTCAGGGAAACACACTGAGCCTTGCGCAGGTCCGGGTGGGGACGAGGAGGTGTCTGGACAGATCCAGCTGCTGCTGGACCCTCCTGGGGTGACTCCTCGTGCGCTGCACCGTGCGTATCTACATCAGTGGAGCGCACGAGATTTGTATCAGTTACTCTATAGTGTTGGGCAGGTTGGGTCGGAAATAGTCCTGATATAACGCGGCTCGCGCGGCGCACGTGTGGCGATAGTGGCGCACAAATCTGCCGGTCTCGTGCGGCGACGATAATGGCGCGGGCGTAGCGTCGAGGACGATAGTGGCGCACGGGCGCCAGATTTGACGATGGCGTGCGTCGGAAGTGGTGCTGATGTGAGCAGGACTGAGCTCAGAAACCCCAGGCTTTTTGGTTGGGATGAATCGACACATGAACCGGATGGTGTCCGAGAGTGATGGAACCATTACCGGTTCTGAGTCGCTTGGAAGTTGAAACCATCCATATAACAACAGGAGTGACTTGAATCTGCTTGACTGGAGTCTTAGAGCCTGAAACTTGAATTAAATGATTATTTTAGAGTCGCCCAGAGTCACCCGGAGCGAGCCATCAATACGACGGCCGTAAGGTTTAACAATCAGGAAAGCCTGCTCCAACGGGTCTCTGGACGACTGTCGCCAACAAAAGGAGTGCTATTTTCCTGCAGCCTTTGTCCGAAATAAGAGCTCGGGCCGCCGCTGTGACACCGCACATACTCGGCGTACTGAGAACCGGTGGCGCAGAGCGCTGCCGATGCCGGCTACGTCCCTCCGCCACGTAGCCTTGGAGGCTGCAGATAACATCAAACAGGGAAAACATCATTGCATTGCGACACGGCGCGGCGCGGCCGGCGCGTTCGGATGCCCCCGGTGCAGTGCCGGCGGCGCGCCGAGGCGCGGACGGTACCGCGCGCACGTTCCCCACCGCGTGTTTGCGGTGAGACGGGTTCCTCAGGGTGGCGGCGGCGGGCAACCCGCGCGCGTCAAACCCACTCAGGCGCGCGCCAGGCTCTTATCAACCGCATCACAACGACCCGACGATGTACTGAGGTTTTCGGGAAGTGCTAATTGCGGTTACCAAAAAAGGCCATCTCTAGGCATCTACAGACAAGTATTCAAGAAAACATTCGTATGAAGAATCGTTAGCTTTGTCCTCCAGACTATCGGGGAATGATCTGGAAGGACATACCTACATGTACCATTATTTAGTAATTAGTGATAACGACTTTTTCAATCCACCCAGCCACATGGGCATGACTTCAATACCATTTAGTGTCTAGTGAAGCATTAATATGATGGATGTGTTGAAGTAAACGCAAAATATATTTTAGTCCACTTAGTGGTACTGAGTTCTCCAGTCTTCCGCGGTGATCGCATATTTCCAGGAAAACAGGTAGATAACAGCTAGATCACGATTCCATACCATTTACCTCATGAAATGCTCACTGCTTGTTGTGTTTCAAGCATGCGTCATTTCCACGCTTGTCCGAGTGATGCTTACCGCTAAACGTATCCAACATCCGTGATAAACGTTACATTCGTAACAATCTAAACACAACGATTTAGTTGTCGTCGCCATCAGAGAACACGTGTTTGTTCGTCCGCTTCCGTGACTATTCACACAGCGTGCGTGGCGGTACAAAATGCCGAGACAAAATAGCTGTTCTCGGTGTTCCGCGGCCTGGGGGGTTTGGCGACGGTGTCCTCTGTTTGTCCATTATCGCTCCCTAACTAACAGGCGGAGACCATCGGTCGTTACACGCGCCTCCACATCACCGGATTCATCACGGACACGTGATTGGCCATCTTAAGTCTCGAGGTCACAGCTCCTCAAGGCTAGCCGCATAGCGACAAATGCCGACAATAGCACAAATCGCGACTCTCGGCAAACATTCAGTTTCGAAGGATAGCAGCACTTAAAACAGACTTCGCCGGCTCTTCGCTGTTGAAATATCATCGCCTTGTTCAGAATACTCGCGTCAAAAAATGCCGTTTGTCAGATAGATTTCTTACATTTCCAAAAAGAAAGCCGAAATCGATCGCGCTTATAGTACCCCGTTATAGTTTGTGCTCATTAGTTAAAGTACTTTGATACAAGTTTTGCTTTATTTGATGTAAAAAAAAACTTTTCTTTATCACCTTTGAAAATATATCTTAACTTCCAGTATAAAGTGGCAATGCGAAGAGAAGCCAACTAAGATCTTATTTTAGACTGCAATCTTGGCCTTTCACTTTAACGCGTTTGCCGTTTGCTTCCTTTCCGGGCACTGATTGTTCTCGACTTTTCTAATAACCGTTATCATGCGTTTTGCATGCATATTGCATAATGCATATCTATTGTTAGCTCTCTTTCTGGAGACATTAGAATAGGCCAATAGCGAAAGTAGCTCTTTTTACGCTTTCGTGCTCACTCATTTTTTTCTCGTTGCCTTTCCGGTACAAAAGCAAACCTATTGCCGCGTCAATTTGTCTTTTTATCAAACTTGATTAGGTACGCCCAAGGGTATGCCTACATTTGCCTTTAACTGCACGTTAGTGAATAAAGTCTCGTTTCTTTAACGTGGCAAAAACTGCCGCTCCCCATGACCAACCATGATATTTTCAATGCTCTCATGATTTAGGGATGCCTCCAAATACCGAATTTCAATCATCCTCAGGCATCAGTCGTCTTTCTTCGTTCAAAGAGCACGCGTTTTTGTTTACGCAATAATGTCTGTTTCTTACACCAAAATACCGAACAGCAAGATATTGCATTATACGATGTTATGTCTAGTAGGTAATGTACCTAATTGAATTATTTAAAAATCCCTCAGGCCCGGCTCGAAAAAGAACTTTGAGCTCAATTTGTTCCACGTAAAGCTATGTTTCGTCATAAAACACTCATTCTTCCATCGACAAGACCCAGTCGAATGGCAGAAGCGACCTCGACATACTCTTCTTTCGTACCCAGCCGAACTCTTCTGGCTATTCACTGTTCAGTCGATTACACCACTACCTGGATCTAGCCGCACCAGCACCTCAGCAGTGTAATGGTACAGGCGAATCCCACTCACTCCACGAATGTTTACCTGTAATTTAGCCGGCCGCGAGTGGCCTACCCAGAATGCGTCAGCGGCGCGGTGGTCGGCGGCAGGTGGCCGGGAGGTGGCGCACCAGTCGCGAGCGGACGTTCAGGGAGGAGGGAGTGTGTCGGTGCCGGGAGGCTCGGGCGGGGAACGAACTCGGACAGTGCACCGCCGCCACGCGCTAGCCAGAACCGCGACCGTGTCTGGCAGACATCGCTGTGCGAACGCGATTGTCCAAAAGTCGCCTGCAATCGGAATCCGAGCTAGGTAAGGCCTCGCCGTCGACCTACGGTCAGTGCTTTGTTGACGGCGCACTGCCGCTGAATCACGAGCTGACCACGAGGTGGTTTAATGTTTGGCTGAAATCATAGCCTTTGTTTTCACGCCTTGATCAGTATTATCGTGATACCTCGAACGTAAACATGCCTGTGCTGGTCGTGTGCTGATGCCGATGCGTGTTACGCCACTACCTCCCCGCCTCTGCCACACCGCTGCTCTGCCACTCTCTCCTCCACCTCTCAATAATACGCAGCACGCTGCGTGGTGAAAAAGCTCTTCATCGGACCAGGCCCGCCATACGTCCGTAGTACGTTTCACGTCGTACGCAGCGGGTCGCCTCACCGCCCTGACCTCGCTCTGTGTGCCCTCCACCGATAGCGTCCCTCCGATACCACCTGTTGGTCAAACACCGACCCCGATAACCGCCTCAGGCTCGCTGTGTTCGCTGTCATCCGTATCGGTTACGTTTACGCTGCACTTGAGGTGCCTCTCTGGCGGTATCATGCTACCCGCGCGGGCGTCTCGGCCGGCCCGTGGGAGCCGCGCTGCGGGGCCGCTGAGGTGGCTCCCCTCCGCCCGGCGGCCGCCGCTCGGTGGTCAGCTGGACCGGCGGCCTCGGCGGGGACCGGGCCGGCCGGCCGCGGCCCGCTCCGACCGGCCCGGCAAAAACGTCACCTCGGAACGCGTGGAAAACAATCTGGCCGGCGGCGCGGGCGACGGGCTCGCTGTTCGCGGCTCCCCGCTGCCTCCGCTGGGTCCGAGAGCCCCGCACAATCTCGACAGCACAGCAACAGACAGTCCTGGAGAGCGTTAGACAGTCCCACAGGGTCCCAGACATTTCCGACTGCAGAAGACAGGGGTGGACATCCTCGGACAGTTTCGGACAAGTCCGGTCAGTATCGGACAATTCCGAACAACCGTGACAGTAGCAAACAGTTTTGGACATATTCCGACAGTTCTGAACATCTCCCTGATAGGGAGAACATCCCCAAACACCCCGAACAGTCCAGTGCAAGGACAGACAGCCCAGGACATCCCGACAGACCCAGACAGGCCCAGACAGCGCCAGACTGCGCCAGACAGGCCCGAGCAGCGCCAGACAGTCTCGGACAGCGCCGGACGGCGGCGGCGGCGTCTCAAGGAGGCTCGGACGCGCACAATGGAGTGGGCTGTCGACCTGTCGGCTCTCGGTCCGGGCTCAATTCGTCTCCGACCGTGGCGCTCGTCAGGCTGGCTGGTCTGGGGTTGGGTGTCACGGAGCTTTGTCCGTGTTGCAGCGAGATATTGGAGAGTTAGAGGACGGTGGGGGCCGTCTCACGGGTATCGGTTTCCAGATGACCATGAATCAAGATAAAACTGAGATTGGGATAGGTTACAAGTTACACAAAAGCTGTTCGCTTCTAGAAAACATAAATGGTCTAGGTAGTGGTACACACCTAAACCAAGTTGTGAAGACTTATTTTAACTTCATCGGCAGAGAACATCCGTGATAAATGTTAAAACAATTCCAGCCGATTGTTCTACAAGTTTCTTTCGAACCCTTCAAACCCTTGCCTTGGAAGGTATCTTCACTTGTCAAAGACAATGGAGGTCCTGAGGGCCATTATTCCCCGAAATGCCTTTTCACCCCGACATTCCGCTCCCGCCCAATAGTTACCCCAGTTGGGATGGGCTCCAAAGGGGACGAATAACGATCTGAGGCAATATCCAGTGGAACACCGTTATGACCCTGGCGTCACCCTTCGTTCTGCTGTCTGTGCAACTAGAGAGGAAGGAGGGCACTGTTCTGGCGCACAATGAATTTTGGTTACGATTTGCATCAGAGGCCTAGGCTTGTTTTGTAAAAAAAAATCGATGCCTTTGATTGTGAAATAGCTAATAGCTTGTCTGAAAGATAGAAAAGATATCATTTTGTCTTTCAGGCATTCAATGCCAGTTTTGCTCATGGTGCATATGATCGATCTTGTCTGCATCCAATGCCAATTGGCTTATTGTGTTCTTACTGGCATAATCTGGTTGTTTCAAACCGCTGTATCGTGTTGGGTGGATAATTGTGAACAATACCCAGCTCGTCAGAGCGGCTGACAGCTCTAACGTGCCTTCTGAACTTACCTTACATATATTATTTTTCACCTTCAAGGTCTGAGGAAACTGTACATTTGTTAAGCAAAATAATTAACCCACCAACAAGGTAAGTTGATCCAAATACTTCTGTATGTTACTGCCACGCTTCGAAGATACTATTTTTGCTTACTCTGTCGCATGGTTTTAGAGTTTCACATGCAGCAGAATTATTTTTATTTACGCATGAGACGATATAGCGCCGGGACGCATTTCATGATAAATGTATTTTGGGACCGGAACAGTTTGCATTATGAGCACATTATGCGATGCTGAGGAGATTTGTACGCTTTTGAGGCCGAGCCACGAGAGATCTGGTTCATGCCGTTACGAGTAACTCGTCCCATATCAGTCGCATCATAGTCGTGCACGTCGTGCTCATCAGAGGCGCTCAGACAAGTCGTCAGCTCGCGATGACACATCCACTCGAATTGAAACCGTTCTTCTCGAAACACGTTATCTGCGGAATTAATGTTAGTAGCTGCGGGAGTTACCACGACATTTGCTATACAGTAGGTCAGTTATCTGTGAACTGTCACATGTCGGCCCGAGGAAATTATTCCCGCACTCATCCAGATTGCATGCAGTGCCGATTAGCATATTTGCGCCGGTGTTCTAGGAGTTGAGGTTATGTTGGCGAACCGTCAGCCAGCCGGCCTCCTTCGGCCAACATCTTATCGAGTGATCGGTCGAAGGGCGGCTCAGCGTTCTGGGAAGCCCTGCGAGGGCCGTGCAGCGAGCACCCTCACCGGCCGCCGCTGTCCCGGCTAATGGGACGCGACGGCCGCCTCTGGGCAGGCCGAGACGCCCGGGGCGCTATCAGAGACGGCCGATCGGGCCGATTCTTTGTCTCGATGCCCCTCGTGACCCGCGGGGATGGTAAATAACCTTATCGGAGAAGGGAATAAAGCCTATCTGCCATCTTACTTCAGCCGGTCAATATCGTTCTCAGCATGTTACAAAGGCTATCCTGCAAGTAACTAACGGAGCATAATAGAGATATGCATCTTTTTGTGTCGCAAGATGTTGTGCTTGGTATTGTTCCAAATAAGACCATGTTTATACCGACAATGAAAAAGTCTGATGATTGCTGTTGTTGTCTCCCTTTCTTTCGCATTCCGACTGAAAACTTTTCTCACGGTCAGTGGCAATATTCACACTACTTGTCGGATGAGGCTGTTAAGCGGGGCTCTATGTTGGCACGCTAAATGATTATTTATCCGCCTTCTTCCCAAAACACCCGTCTTCAATGCTCATTTAGGTACTTAGCGCATTTTCCTTCAGCTTCACTTTTACTTCCAGAACTATGTCCATCTCAACATATTTAAAAGCAACGTCAAGCTCTCCCCGTCCCAACCAACCGTCAACACCTCTCTCCAGACCACCCATCTACCTCTCTCCAGACCATCACAGACCTGGTGGTCTGTGTCGGGTCTGGCTGCATACTGACCAGTGGACGACCTTGGCACTCTTGCGTGACCATCTGCGCCATCGGTGGCCCTTCTGCGAACATACCCCTCACCACGGCCTCCTGTGAGCTGTGTCAGCGGACTTCCCCGGTAGCTGTGAGGTCAGAGAAGCTCCCTGGTGACTCGTGACTCCCACGGGACTCGCGTGGAAGGCTGATAGTGACCTCTCGACCGAGGGAGCGCCCGGCGGACGATCGTCCGCTGCCGGCGGCACTCAGAAGCGCGGCACTCAAACAGTGAGTAACGCCGCACGGCGCGGTCGAATGGCCTGGGAATGGCGGCCAACCGGCGCGGCGCGGCGCCCTTGCAGCGTGGGAACGGCTCGGTCGCAGCTCGCCAGCTCCGAGGACCTTTAAATCCCGCTGAACGGAACGGCCCGGTCCCGGCGCTAGGGCCACGGCGGCCTCTGCTGCCCTGCCCGAGCTTCCCAGCGGCAGCGGCGGTGGCGGCGGCCGCTCGTGCCCGCGGAGGTCGCCATCTTGACGTGACGTCACGCGGCGCGCATACCGGGCGCCGACCGACCGAGCCGGCCAAGGTAATGAGCGCCCGCGGCGGGCGGCGCATGGGCGCCCGGCGCCCGGGCGCCTCTCCCGAGAGAGAGACGCCCGCCGCCCCGGGCCGCTGCCGTCCGCCGACCGGCCCCGGGCGCAGGGGTGCAGCCGCCCCGCCGACAGAGGCAGAGGACAGGAGGGCCGATCGCTGCCGCCGGCAGAAGAGAGAGCAGATGAGATGATAGCCGCCGGCGGATCGGGCGAGAGGAGACAGGAGCGGGAGCCGTGTGGGGAGGTGCACTAAAACCAGACATGGCTGCCCTTCCCAGGCTGCTGTTAGAGAGGTGGGCTCCTGTCCTGTGGACTGAGGACTTTTCAAATATTGACGTAACTACAGAGCTTATCAGAACTGTTACATAACTCTGCTGTGCTGAGGTTTTCCTTGGTATGTATGCACTCGTAAATACTCAGCATTGAAATTTGAATGCATCATTCATGGCTTGTTTGAGGCCCGATGTGTGCTATCTTGCACATCAAACATGATGAGGAAATAGGAATGTGGGCATCTGCCATAATCTAAAATAAACATCACATCAAACAACTATCGGTGTCGCCTTGGAACCCATACCAACAAGCATATCAATACTTGACCAGAGAGTCCGATACCAGCAAGTATATCAGTACTTGACCAGAGAGTCTGTGTCTACACTCCACCTTCCCGCTGCGCAGAAGGGCTGATTGGACGCCAGAGTCTCGATCTGAAGCAGCTCATTAGCCGTTAGCGTTCGCCGGGCTGCCAGATGGTCCCTCGATCGGTAGCTTCCCGTCATGGCAGCTGGCCTGTCGCGGAGGGCGTCCGATTGGACTCCCCGAGCTCCGTTGGGTTTGGGTAGCGCTTTGTCAGCGC